AGAACCAATAGTCGGACACAGTCATTACTTTGAAAGCCCATAACACGCCCAGAAAAGTCATTTTTAACCCCAGGCCAGAAATGATAACATCTCCACGACCTGGGGTTGGGGGGGCAATTGATATGGACGAAATTCACGGTCAGGGCTTTGGTGGCCCAAAAGCTTGACCAACCCAAGAGGCCCAGAGCAGAGAAGGGGGACCTAGCATCGACAAAAAGCCAATAGCCCAGCAGTCCAGGCCTAGGCCAAACCATAAAGCGGTTTAGAGAATAAAAAGCCTAGTCCAAGCTATTTCTTGATGGGCAAAGGGGACCATGCATCTAGGGGGGCCACCTCTTACACCTACGACAATCTCAAAGAAGATGGAACACCAGGCCGCCAGAGATCATGGCAACTGCAGTGCCGAATGAACAGTAATCGTGGTGGCAAGAGAAGTAGGAGAGGATCAGAGGAAAGGACAGCTGAAGCTCCTAAGAGGAGCTAATATAAATAGATAACGATAACCCAAAAAAGGAGAGGGATCTTCCCCAGAAAAGTGAGGAGGACATTAGAAAGCCTAAGAACGTAAAAAGTTGAGAGAGAATACCTGAATACTCATCCTTTGTAAGTGGACTCTGAGTCCCGACTTACAGGAGGCATTTTGCCGGCCGATGAATATATAAACCCAGCGAGCAAGAGACTCCGTTGATAGTGGATGTAACCTGAGCCTTTTTGCTAAGGTGAACCACTTATATTCCCAGTCTAACTGATCATTTAAGATTGATCCATAACCTCCAAAAAACCATTTCTTAACACCATCCCATCTTAGTTTGGCTTGGGCCACAAATTCCGACCACCATCAAGGATAATTAAAACTCAAAAAATAAGATTGACTCAAGATGTTACCATCGACAAAATGAATTTTTCTACTGACAACCTAGAATCGTCCAGACCAAACACTCTTTGAGTTCTTAACTGCCATGTACGCTTGAGATGTTTCACAATCATGCGTAAACCACAATTAACGCATCAATTACAAACGTCACTCATGAGATTGGAACTTAAGGTTCAAAGAGATTAATAATTGTAATCAAAATCATCTAACATATATGATGAATATATACATGTAACATACAATTTGACATAACAGATACTCAACACAACAACTCAATAGATACTCATTACAGTTACTAAGAACATATATAAGAATGAAATACTTAAAATCACAAAATAGTTAATCGATACAATTACAACCATTAAATTTTTGAATATGAGATGTTTATAATTTGTGATCAAATAAACTCAATATCGGAACTATTTATTTAATACAAAAAGACTTTGAGTTATTTTAGTTTCATTCTTGAAAATATGTTTTTATAATTATGTTTTTTGATTTACAAACTACGCTAATATATGGTGTATTTATATTAACCTAATCATTAGTTCAGACATTGGTAATTGTTTAATTCATTAGAATGAGATTCATTCAAATTTTTAATGAGCAATGTAACTCAACTCACATAATAACTATTTTTAGGGACACAATTATTAATTAAAAACAGAGCTTGTTACAGCCCCAAGAAATTTCAGCTACAAAGAGCTCAAGTCAGCCACAAAAGGCATTTGACACTGTTTACGGAGCATTTGGCACTTTTACTAAGCCTTTTTTTTCATAGAATGAGGAACTGTTATTGCAGTGAAAATATTAAAGCATTCTCATGAAGGTAAAACTGAATTTTTAGATGAATTGTCCATTATTGCTTGTTTGAGGCACAATATTTATTTCAGCTCCAATGTTGGTGTGTTGAGAAGGGTGAATTGCTACTTGTGTGTGAGTTTATGTCCAATGGGAGTCTTGATAAGATACTGTACCCAAAATCTAAATTGGGTAACCCATTAAAATGGCCATACAGATACAACATTTAAATTAGTTTGGCCTCTGTTCCGACTTACCACCATTAAGAATATGAACAACAAGTAATCTACAAAGACATAAAGACTGTTAACATTATGCTTGATTCAGTAACAGATACTCAAGACAGTTACAACAAAAATAAGATACAAATATTCAACGGATAACAAATATAGTTACCAATAACAAATATAAGAATTGAATCCTTAAAATCAGAAAAATAGTTACGCAACACAGTTAAACCCATTAAATTTTTAATATTAATTGTTTGTAATTTGAATCCCAAATAGTTACTTAAAACAGTTACGTAATTATTTTTAATCAAAAAATCATTTTTCAAAGTGTTTTTTCATATACATTTGCTTTAACAAAATTGCAAATTCTAACTATAATTTCATGAAATTAGGGTTTTACGATTTGGTTTTTTTCTTTTTCAGATTCAACTTACATAGGTTTATGAAAAAAAAACTAATTAATCAATGAATGAAAAAAAAAAAAAAAACTTCAATGTCACTTGAAATTTCTAGTGAAGAAGATGCTAGAGAAGACGAACAAGTTCTGCACATTGTCGACGAAGATGAACAGTTGGATTTGGAACTATCGTACTCCTCTTTTTTTTTTTTTTTTGTGAAATATTCAGTGTGTGATCACATATAAACAATTATGTCATTTTATGGATATCCATTGCCATAGAACCAAGATGCCAAAGATTAAGGGTTTAGATAATTAAATCTCCTATTTTAGCTTTCATTATCTGATTGTAGCCATAATATACGGAGGAATACAAATGGGTTCTACATCTCCGTTGATTATCGAATGGCAATACTGGTATTTTTTAAAAATATTCATTTTACCCCAAATAAGTTTTTGAGTTGTATTTTTGCCTAAATAAGTCTAAAAAATTGTACCAACTTCCAAATTCCCCTCTTAACAATGACTAGCACAAACAAAAATTGGGCTTCAATATCCAGATCATCAAGTAATCTATGTAAACTCCTGAATCAAATTAAAGGGTAGTTCAAGTGATAATAAGCATGAATTGTAAATAAAAATTTGTCTTAAGGTCAAATCTTTGCAATCTCTTGAGGTTAGGCCATGACGGATATCCCTCATGAATACTCTAATTTTAGCGTGGATGGCTTGTCTTTGACTGTATCGAGAAGGGAATTAATTGAAATATGTGTAAGCTAGTCCATACATCTGATCATTGAACCAAAAAAAATTAAATCAAGAATCATTTTAAGGCGGTTGACTAAATGCAATCATCCAAACAATGTGAATCAGACACGAAATCAACATAAAATTATAAGGTCAGGTTGACTACCCAAACTTAATAAATGGGTCAAGACGAACTCAGTATAATGATACAATCAACTATACAATAGATATGGTCCAAAATATTTATACCTAATCGATGATACAAACATGATTATAAATTGATGGGGTGGGTACAAATTAAGTAAATTTTGATACGATACGACTTATACAAGAAGCAAATCTACCATAATATTCAAAATACTTACTTTTTTGGGGTGCTGAGAATGGGAAGCAGGGGTTTGTTGGGAGGAGCTACTCACCTAAAATGCACTAAATTGTTGAAACGATCTCAAAACAGTTAAGCCAAATCCAAGATATTATATCAAAAAAAAAAAAAATCCACAATAGAGATATTATAAACAAGGTACCCACAGCCTAGGTGTATATGTTATGGCCTTTTGTAGTCATTCTGTTCTTGTCTTTGGATCTCTTTTGTAAATGATCTCAAGAAAGCTTTGTCAACAGTCTGAAAATAGAATTCCATCTGTGTTTGAGCTTTGACAATGAGCTAAATTTGGTTATTGTTGTCAAGGTTTACAATCACACTCTTTAACCTAATTAATCAAGTATTGGAAATTTGTGCACACCAACTTGGTATTTTAACCAAGTTTTGTCATGCAAAGACAAATGATGAGCCGAACGACATTCTCACACAATTTTGTCCCTTCTCCAAATGAAGAATCTTGACTTTCAAAATGGCGTGTTGGAAGACTACCTTTTAGTATATTTTGACAATGTTTTCAATAGATACAACCCAGAAAACCCAAGTCATAGATGTACATGATTACTAACAAATTATCATTTCAATTACGTTCAAATTTTACGGATCATGAGGACTCAAACTCGAGATTTATTTTAAGACTTGTTTTATGTTTGATCACTAAGCCAATTTTTACGAGTTCTCCGTTTAGATTCATGTAGGCGATATGAGATGGAGGGAATAAAGAGTGAATTTGGATTTATATGCATAGAATCTAATGTTTAATGTTCAATTAGATCCACTTGGAGGTGCATCAAATAAGAAATTGGCTAACCTAATTTTGATACTTTTGGCATCATGTCCGCTTCTCATTAAGATTTACCACTACCTTCCAAATATCAATTTCCCCATTTATTGAGGAAATAAATGAATTTCATGACCCCTTTTTAAAGGTAGAAAAGAAAGGTCAACAGAAAAATCTGCCCAAAATAAAAGGTCGATAAGTAATGCTTCAAACCCTTGATCCGATTATGATACTAAAAAATAAATTTTAAATTTTATGTTATTATTTTTTATTTTAAAAAATGTGATACTTTTAAAATTATTTATTTTATTATTTTTTGTATTACTTTATTTTGGAACCAATAATTACATATAATTTGAATTAAAATTTACTTTGTATGATCAATTCAAGTACTATAGCAATATCCCAAAGACTTTAGTCCCTTTCACAGTGCCATTCACTTTGTTTGAAAAATCACTACAAATGAGAGAGTCGAGATAAAAATTTGTCAATTACTTGGTGCAGGTAACGAGTGATTTATTCTTTATAAATTTTTTAATTTTGATGTGAATGTTTTATGTTTAATTGAACTAAAAAAAAGAATTAATAAGATGTTCATAACCCGTCTTCAAAAAAAAAAAAAGGTGAGAGAAACTCCCAAATAAACAAATAGTCAAACACCTTCCCTTCATTCAGCTCCCCCATCTTTTCCCTCCAATCTCTCTCTCTCCCTCTCTCTCTCTGTTCAGCACTCAATTGCAGCTTCAAATCACACTATTTTTTGCATATCGATGCAATAGGGGGTAGTCATGGTGGCGGAGCCATGGATACGGAAAATGGGAAACCAGGTAAGCTCCAATCTCAAGCATGCTTTTGTTCTTGAAACTTCCAATAAAGCATACAAAAAACAAGACCAGCCCAAAGAGACTATTGGGATTTTATCTTTCGAAGTAGCTAATGTGATGTCCAAAACAGTTCATCTCCACAAGTCTTTAACTGACTCAGAAATCTCGAAGTTGAAAAATGAGGTTTTGAAGTCCGATGACATTAAGACCCTCATATCTAGACATGAAACCCACCTCCTGGAGTTGGTTTTAGCTGAAAAGCTTGATGAATTGAACTGGGTGGCTGGGGTGGTCTCAAGATTGGGGAAGAAATGTACCATTCCTGCACTGCAAGGGTTTGAGCATGTGTATGGGGATATAGTGAGTGGAGGGATAAATGTGAGGGAATTGGGGTTTTTAGTGAAGGATATGGAGGGGATGATGAGGAAAATGGAGAGGTATGTTAACTCAACGGCGAGTCTTTATCGTGAAATCGAGGTGTTGAATGAATTGGAACAGACCACCAAGAAGTTTAAGCAGAAACAATTTGAAGTAAATCGGAAGACGTTTGAGCAGAAAATGGTGTGGCAGAAACAAGATGTGAGGCATTTGAAGAATGTTTCAATTTGGAACCAGACATATGATAAGGTTGTAGAGTTGTTGGCTAGGACAGTGTGTACTATTTATGCACGGTTTTGTTTGGTGTTTGGGGACGCAATTTTGAGCCAGGAGTTCACTGGTGGCCCTGTTTCAGGGGCACAGTTTGATTTTACTGGGAATTTACTTTATATGAAGCAAGAATGTGACAAGAAATCTGGTCAGATTGATTTACAATGCAAAGTTCAGATCGGTGCTGAGTTGACAAAGCCAGTCTTGAGGAACGATAATAGTTACTGTTATTCGGGGCTGATTGAGAGGAACATGGTGAAGAAGAAGGGAATTAGGCCTCAAGTAGAGTCGCAGAGGGGTGAAATAGGGTTGTTTAGGCCAAAGGGTTTTAATGTTGCCTGTGGAATGGGACCAGGGAGGCTTTTTATGGAGTGCTTTAGTTTGAGTACTTCTGCTTCAAAAGTGGATGATGATGTTGTCTATGATGACCGAACTAGTCAAATTTCAGGTTGTTGTAGTATTGGAAGTGATGGGAATAGAGAGCGCCCTAATTATTCGGGTTGCTTTAATCACTCCCAAGTAGGTGTTCCTTTGAGTGTAGAGCAAGGGCAGTTCAAGGTTCGTGTGACAAACAGTGCAAAATTTTGCCCCAAGTAGACTAATGGTATGTGCTCCTCCAAGCACTGTTGGAGGCTCTGCTTTAGCCTTTCATTATGCAAATGTGATATTAGTCATTGAGAAGCTGCTTTGCTACCCACATTTGGTTGGTGAGGAAGCTAGAGATGATCTGTATCATTTGTTACCTACAAGCTTTAAAAAAACTTTGAAGGCTAATCTTAAGTCTCATGTGAAAAACTTGGTGATATATGACTCCCTTCTTGCCCATGAGTGGAAAGAGAGGCTTGATGAGATATTGAGGTGGCTTGGACCAATGGCACACAACATGATCAGATGGCAAAGTGAGCGTAATTTTGAGCAGCAACAAATTGTGACGCAGACAAATGTTCTTCTGCTCCAGACATTATATTTTGCTGATAGAGAAAAAATGGAGGCAGCTATCTGTGAGCTTCTTGTTGGTTTGAATTATATATGCCGTCATGAGCATCAGCAAAATGCTTTGTTGGATTGTGCAAGCAGTTTTGATTTTGATGACTGCATGGAGTAGCAACTGCGGTATTCAACTTCTTATCATTCTTAATTACACTGCAAGAAGGGAATACATGGGTGATGGTTGGATTTTTCTTACATTCCAACACTTGTATGATAAGGAATAAGGATAGATGATAGTTGAACAAGATGTGAAGAATAAAGCTTCGGATTATTGAATATGTCTATTACTGTAAAATTGAGTTGATTAATGTATCTCTTTTTGCCATGTATATGGAAATTTGAATTTCTTATGAAGTGAAACATCTTTCCTTTTGCCTAGAGTGTGCACATTATTTTTTATGAGTTCTGTTTGCTACTGCTTGGACAATCTTTCACAGTTTTTGTAAATAAATAACGAACCAACATATTTCCATAAAGTGAATCAGCCAGGGTGGTGTGTCAAGTCAAGTGGCAAGCATTTAATATACGCTGGAAGAAGCAAGCCAGTAGACATGCCTTTTCGAATTCTAAGTGAAGCAGTTACACAAAGACTCCTACGTTGAAGGGAGTGGTCGGTTGCTCTGGAATTTGAGAGAAGATAGTTACCAAGACTGATTGAACTTTCGAAATTAAAAGGCAGCAATGTGGAAGATTGATAATCCTAACAAAACAAATGCTGCTTCTGAGACTGAGAGAGTGAGAGTAAGAATGACATGAGCTTGGAGTTATTTTTGATATGAATTTGAGGTGCCTGTGACAATCCTTTGTTATTGGAGGAAAGACTGCAACCTATAAAAGATTAGAATTTGAAGGGCAATGTATAGTTTAGCTCACCCACTTAATTTTTTTCAAGAGTATTCCATCACTACGGGAAGTCTAGATGTACACATCCAAAAATGTTTTGGGGCTCTTTGTTTATTTCTCAATTTGCTGTTAACCTAAAATGGATTTTGAATTTTTCGATAAAAAGAAGTGTTTTTCGATACAAATCCGCTAAAAGACCTGATATGATTGATAAACCTAATTCCCAGCAGCAATTAGGGTTTGACTGCGGCATGCAGGACAAAAAAAAATCGAACTATTCTATTTATCAATTTTTTGGATATTTATAAAACATTTTAGGTGAAGCATACTAACTTTTGTGTGCACTCATTTTTCTGGTTCACTTAATTTTTTTAGCTAGCTTACAATTTTTGGGTAGAATTTATCAATTTTTAGGGTAACCTTTTTTTTTTTTTTATGGTTTTTTTTTCTAATTTTCGGTATAAATTTTAGTACAATAGTATTTCCCCAACAATTGTGGCAAAAATTATAATTAATAATAGTTTTTGTGTAGTAGAGTATG